TTAATAAGATTTTATGCCAACTAAATTCAATTTATAGATTTAAGATGTGTATATGTAATTCAAAAACATAATGTTTTTTAAACTGCAGAAACATTTTCCCTAAAAAAGTAAAATAAACGGAAAAAAGGATTTTCTTGCAACTTGTGAAATTTGTAAACTAAAAATGCCATCTGTGCCAATACACCCAGCAGAAAGTTTGTCAGATCCAGCTGATGTTTGATGTGTTAAGATCACTGTATATTTTGAGAATAAAATAACACATTAAAATCCATCCATCCATTTTTTTTACCTGTTTTTTCGTGCAGAGTCACTGCAAGCTGCTGCTTATCTCTAGCAGACACTGTATGAGAGGCAGAGGACACCCTGGGGACACCCTGGGGACACCCTGGACAGGTTGCAAGTTAATCACGGGGCCACACAGAGAAAACTAAACCGACCATTGACACTCGTAGGGTCAATGAAGTCACCAGTGAACCTAGCTAGAAACTGGAGTACCTGGAGAAAGTCTGTGCAGATATCTATGATTTTTTTTATTTCTTTGTCAAAAAGGCCAATTTATATTGACCATGGCTGATTTCAATGAGCAACAGAAAGGTAAAACATCCAAGGGAGTCAGTGAATTCTTTTTATAGGCACTGTATCTGTGTATCTCTGCTCTGTAGAGATTGTTGCCTCAGGGCTAAATGAAGTTATGAAAACACTAATTAAACTATTGTACAGTGGATTGCTGATTCATTGCTGTGCTCTTCACAGTGTAGCTGTTGTTGAGAAGCTCCACTGTGTTCATACACCGTTGTTGGAACGCTTATTATGAATTCAATGGAAAGTGTTTAGCTAAAAGTTAATGACTTTGTGTTCTAATCAAAATTACGCAGTGTGCCCGCTCAATCTCCATGGCATAAGTCACACTCAGATTTCTGTCAATAGTTTGAAACACAAGGTGCTGAATTATTAATTAAAAACTCTCTCGTTACTTAGCATATTGCAGGTCACTCCACCCCCTTGTTTCCACAGGCAATGTGACTCGAGTACTGCACAACTCTCAACAGATTGGACCACTGTTTTCTGTTTTCATTGCAGTTTAGAGTCTTAGTTCTTGTGTGGTTTTGAAGGTTGAAGTTTCGTCTCGTTTTTAGGTCTTTGATGTATATTGTAAGAGTAAGCAGCCTCGTGTTAACGCCTCTCCAGGCTGTGTTTTGTGAGGATTTGTTTTAAGCGTTTTGTTGTTACATGCTCATTATTTTCCGCAAACGCTGTACGAGGAGAAAGATCTCCCGCTTTTTCCTTTCCATCTACGCGTTCCTCCCTCTCTCAGCTCTGCTCAGTGACAGCAGACCCTGGTTTTTGTGTCTCCAGCACAGCATCTAATGAGCTCAGAAGAATTGCTKCCCAGAAGAGTGACAGCCTCTAGTTATGTTTCCAGCACCTCTCCTGATGCACTTAAATCACGCCCACTTCCAAATGTATTTGTGAAGCCACAGATGTGCCTTCTTTTTTGAACACTCTCTAGCACTTGTATAATTGTCTTGAAAAATCGAAGAAGGATATTTTCAGCGTTGGAATATTTTTGACATGAGCTGATCAGGTTTGACATTAGCCACAAAGAAAGCAACACTGCTCTTTTTACATTCTGTCGAAAAAACCTGCACCCAAGCATTCACGTGGATTTGTTGCTTTGACACTTGCCAGCTATCTTTATTTTTACAGACCAATCTGACCCCCCACATAGCAACAGTACTCCCACAAAAAATACAGCACAGCATCTTGGATTTTTTTTTTCTTACCCTGCCTACAAAATCCCCAGATATCAATCTGATGTAATCTTATGGTTTCAGTGTGAAGAAACCCTAATCTTTGGAGATACCATCACATTCCACAGACTCAAAAGACCTACTGCAAAAGTTCCAGTAAAAATGGGCTATATAAGATTTTGATGGTATGATAACCTTTAAAAAAATCGGTTTGGTTTAATRATTGTCAACAACAAACAAGATTTGAAATGAGGTGATGCACACTGTACATGCATGACGAGTAAAACTACAACAAAATTAACAACTCAACAGTTAAAATGCACAGTAAAATATTTGTAGATAATGCTGATTGAATTTACATTAATGCTGCTGTTAATGGTAATAATCAAACAGTGGTTTAATACCAATGAGTTTTATTTCAGTTCTAATGCGTAGTAGGTAAACATAAGGCAAAAAAATGGAAAAGTAAGCAACACTGGGTGTGTCGACTTCAGTGTTTACTTGACGCACACATACACACAAATATAAGCYCACACATTCTGCTCATTTTCTGTATCTCTGCAGCACACAGAGTCAGCAAAAACAGCAGAAAGCCAGCAGGCCATTTATAGAAAACATGTTATGATTTTGAACATAAGTACACAGAAGTGGAAGACTAGCAAAAAGAGAATAGAGGCTACTCAAATTACTACTAATTTAGCTGGCTTCTCTATTAAAGGTTATTTTTTAAACAGTAGGACTTCTTAGTTTATCTGTGAAGTATCATTAGGAGTTTGACTGCCTAAAGTTAACTTGTTAATTAGCRGTGTTATCAGCTTTAGAAAGCTTAAGGTTTAACACTCTTCTACATGTCAAGTTGTACGGATTGTCTGTAAATTACACAGATTTTKCCACATTTTGCACGTATACGGATGTGTAGGGCAATCTCACAGGAAAAAAAAAACAAAAAAAGCTTGTAAACAAATTAATTTTACATCTCAGAGAGAGCCTGTTAATAAATAAATAAAATAAAATAATCTCTTGACCTGCTCTGCTACTAGGAAAAAGTTCACCTCTCCTCGTCCTCCTTTCCCTGCTCCTCTGCACTTCAGGCACTGTTATCCCCCCCKCCCCCCATGTTTTTCCCTGCAGCCAACTTGTCACCACCACCCACCCCCTTCCCATTTTATCACATTTGAGTGATAGGGATTTTTGGGGATAATTATGGATTTTGGATGGGTCAACATACAAGTAAATGTCAAAAGGGGTTGACATGTATGCTTATAGCTGCTGGTAAATAAATACAGCATAGTTGATAATTTTGACAACAGGTCAGTTTACTGGAATGGTGACACTATTTTGGTGGTAACAGCACAGCCACAGAACAGGCAGTCTCTTTATCTTTCAGAGATTAAACTTCTATACTTAGCGTATACTCACAGTCTATATTATCTTCTTGGATGAAGTTACTTACCTCAAAGCTTTCCTTTTGTTAAGAGTAACTTATAGACTTCAGAGTGTTACAAATCAAAGGCCAGAAGGGATGGCCAGGCTGGACATTTTTTTGTTTGAACCTCTGCTCAGATGGTTCTTTTCATCATGCCTGGTGTTTTAATGTACAGTTGGAATGTGTTGAAGATTGTATCGTCATGCCTAATAAGTAGCTGGGTAAATTTAGATTCCAGATTAATCTAAAATAAAGTCCAGTTTCTGAGTAAGAATTTAAATATGCTGCCCTCTGGAAACTCTTATTTCTTTGTACTTTTCTTTCTTTTTTTTTCTTTCTTGCATTTAGCAGTTTTGGCTTGCTTGTAGCATTTCCTGTATTGCAGCATCATGGTTACCGCTTATCATTATCATATATTATAATTTCAGGTCTCAAAAAAGATGAAGAAGAATTTAGAAATAAGTGTGGTTTTGGCAGATCCTTTGTCTGTTTTGATGTAAAATTAATGGTTTGCACATTCTTCATAGTCAGGGGGCCGGAAGCCACTTTAAGTCAAATGTTAAGGTGTGATGTCTGTTTCTGCTGCACTTTTTGGTTTGTTTGGGTCGAAGGGTGTCTACAGTGGTTAATTTGGGCCCAAGATTGACCCATTTAAGGAGGCCATGTTTGTGTTTATAGCTTGCTCTGTCCTTTCATCTCTAGGCCACTGTTCTACTTTGCTGCTGTGAGGTAGAACAGCCCAACTCTGCCCGGGAAGCTGTGAATGWCAGAAGAATAGGCTGCCCCTGTGAAGCCTTCTCCTTTTAATGGATGCCCAGGTGGCCCTGCTGCTCGTATGGACAGGTCTTGTCCTGCTGACAGCTGAATTGAAGTGGATTGATGCTGCAGAGATCTACACCAACACTTGGGCTGTCCAGATCAATGGGGGCCTGGAGGAGGCTGACCGCATCGCCAAGGAACATGGTTTTATCAACCAAGGCAATGTAAGTTCTGCTTGTTACTTTTATCACTGTTGCACTTGAATAATACATACTGRATTATACAAACCTGTTTGCATTTATTTCTTTTGAAATGAACATCTAGAGACAAAACCTACCATATMTATTCAAGTATAATACGTGAAATTTAATCCATAAAATCATCCATGAAGTTGGGAGGTAGTATTATACTCTGATAAATATTTCTACTTATGTATTTTAAAAATATCGGCTTCATTCACAAAATGCATGAGTCCGGAAATGAGACCGCATCGTAAAAAGCAGTTGAAACGAGCTTACCTCTGACACTCCTTCGTGCTTCAGAGCGAGATAGTAACAGATCCAAGCAGGCGACATGATGTGAAAAAAGGATGGGGAAAGCAGTCCTGCACCTTAATGATAACGAACTAATGACATTAGCGTGTGACCGGGCCGCTGCTGGAACAACAAACACATGTTTGTCTGTAATGGCTGCCGCATACCGGTGATCTGAAAAAGTTTCCCCACCAGAGGGGGCGCTCATGAGTAGGAAGTAATCTGCTWTTGCCCCAGAAGATGGCCCAGATCTCATGTGAAGTCTCTGATTTTTGTGTTGGCGCATCCCGGTGGACTATGTGTAAAATGACAGAATTCATATGAAGCTGCTACAAAGCTCAAAATCATAGTTTGCTTATATATATTTGTTGTCTAAATACCTTTTAGTACATATGTTGTTAAAACTAAATGAACAGTCCAATGATCATTTTACTGATATGTATAAAGACTGCAAAGGCTGAAAAGTCTTGAAGTCTGAATGAAATTGGAGGTAGTTTGAGGATTAAATTTTTTATGCTTTTTAAGCTCAAAAAAGTGGGGGTTGTATTATACATGAGGGCGTATTATACACGAATAAATACGGTACTTTAGTCCATATGTGTATTGCTTTTACAGGTGGTAAAAAGCTGAGCATCAGACTACCTTATATGACACCTCCAGGCCATCCTGTTTCTGCAATGCATTGCTGAAGTGTGGCCTGTACCCTTCTTGAAGCTTAACTGGAGCATGCATGATTCACTAATACACTGGCAGACAGCATTGTTTACAGAGAAGTGTTAGAAATAGACGGAAATAATAAGCCAGTTTTTTTTTTTTCCAAGGTCTGACAGAAGCTTGTTAAATGTAATTATGGTGTAGGCAGTTTAATTATGTTGCTAGCAATTCCAAATCTGTTTTTGAGATTGCCAGGTCATTGTAATTAATAGATATGCTGTGTGAAACAGTTTTAAATAAGAAAAACAATTGCCAGAATGGGAGAAGCAGCTCCCTCATTCGTATGTTAATCAAGTATCAAAATGCTCCCAAAACTAAACTTTCTTATATTTGTGCTCAGCACTTGACAGTAAGTCGCTATTTGGTTCCCTCCTCTCTTGTTGCTGTGTTTGAGACTTAAGTTGATTTGCATGCGTCTCTGCGGAGCTGCCTGAGTGCTGCATACACCAGTGAACAGGCTGCTTCTTAAGGATATGAGAATATGAGAAAGAGGTCCCGCATAGTGTCGTCGCTGTTTTATGTTCTTGGAAGTAAAGATTTTCTGAAAGAGCGGTTTGCAAGATTAATTTTTGTTTAGCTTTGCTATTTTTGTTTTGCCAAAGATTAAGTTTTTCTAGAGTGCAAAGCCAGATTGTTTAATCCCATGTGATCCTTTATGAGAAAGAATAATGACGACTTGAACATGATTTGTCCCAGTAATAAATGKTTTTTTGGTCCTCCTTTTTATTAATCTGTATTTTACTTTAAGAAAAGCCTGTCCAGTAGACTTTTGTTTAAACTTAGAGTTCGTTTTTGTATCGATCTGTAGGTTTTCAGTCTAACACAACATATTTCACTGCAGAGAAGAAGGAAAGCCTTTATGTGATAACAGATCAATCTAGGTAGAAAACCACTCTACAGTTTTAGTGATTGGGGTAATATGATGTATTTGATATTCTGCTCACAGATTACAAATACATATTCCAGACACACAATGCAATAAAGCAAGAAAAAAATCTCCCTCRGCTGAGTTAGGTTATTCTTGCTTCTTTTGTACCTTTGTGATTCCTTTACCTAAAAAATAAAGTATTTTTTCTGTTTATCTTTTCCTCATTTCATCAACCCACAAAGAGCCTCTCTGCTGCCTCTTACCCACCAGATTAATGGATGTATTGTTTGTTTGTTTTTTTCTTCTCTTAATTAGCMATTACATCAAAGAAAGATCTATCAGAAGCTGAAATACTTGCCAATGAATTCTCAAAGACAATACTCTGAATCTCTGGTGCATCGAGGCAGGTTGTCAGTTTAGTGTCCGTTKCATTAGGCTCTTCAAGTCCAGGGGAGTGAAGCAAGGAGTGTAGCCCCATTTCGCAACGTGGGGTGGGGAAAACACCATCATTCTACACCAGCAAACTGTGTGCAACATTTCTTCATGCACATATCTTCAGTCTTTGTTTTATGGGGGGCACCCAAATAAGCTCTGTAGTCTGTGAATGGATGCTGTCGTGAACAGTGATGATTTAGAGTCTACGTGTGATATTTGTTCTTTGGGTATTGTGTGGGCTATGTGAGGGTATGGGTTAGGTGAGGATTTGTACAGCTGGGGGCTTAGAGCGGAAATGACTTAGTCATTTTTTATCATCTTTGATCCTTATTTTATAAGGCACTTGAAAAGAGCAAAGAGGCTGATGTATAATCAGGAAGTAATAGGTTTTTCTATCCTTAATGTGATTAAGGGATCATCACACACCCGATTATTTGTTCATGGCAGTCCTCAGAAACATCTCTTTCCCCTTGTGTTCCAATGTATCCGCAGACTTATATATGTTCCACTTTTCTGCATTTCATGTCAGTTTTCATGGCTGAAACTGTATTTCTTTGTGTGCAAATACATGTTGAAAATAGCAGGGATTAAGTGTAAATGTCATTGAGATGTCCTAGCGTGTATTAGCATTCAGCAAGCTGTCACGGAGTATCATTGTATCAGTTTCTTTGTAATGTAATAGTATTCTTTTTTCTTTCTCAGCATTATATTGTGTTTGCGTAGGAGTTCCAAATCAGAGCAGAGTTTACAGCTAAATGTCACTCTGTGCTCTTGGTGAGCTGAGTCAGAATCATTGTTTTCATGAGAATGGACAGGCTCTGTGGGTGTTGACAGACTGAATCACCTTGAAGTAGACTACCAGAACCTTCTCCCTATCTTTTAGTCTTTTCTTTCTCTTTTACTCCCCCTTTACATCCTTATCTAGAGGTCTCTTTCTATTTATAGACGTCTCACTCAAAACACAAGGCTATAGTGTAGTTTGCAATAAAGTTTTTGATACTCAGCTTCCTCCATGTCTGCTGTGCTGTTTGTTGCCTACTTTGAAAAACTGCAGGAAAACACTTTGCCAGTTTTTGTGTTATATACTTATGTCATTTCCAGGTAAGTAAATGTTTGATTGCATCTAGAGACAGTTTTTAAGGGGATGACATTACTCTAAATCTGATATTCCAAATACAGATTAGCACTTCAGTAGGTTGATTCTAAAATGACCAGTCATAGTCTGCACATATAAACCTTTGGAACTGTCTATGGCACTGCCAAAGATTTGAATTGTCCAGCAGAAAAATCACAAAATATGATGAAATAAAATTTTTAAAAAGGCAGTGCTTGCTATTTTTCTTGCGGTCTGATATTCATTTTGGTGGCTGCGACAGAAGCTAAAAACCATAAAACCGCTGAGTTCTTATAGAGGTACTACGATGGTTTTAAATTCTTCACAAAACCTTTTGTTCTGTTGTGATTTTTTTACGTTTTTTTCTAAATGGAATTCATGAACGACATTCCAAATATGTTTCAAATCTATCAGCTCCATTGCCTTTTTGTTATTACTTTTTATTTAAATCATTGCAGAGTGTCCATTGCATTGCAATTTAATTATCAAAAAAGCAGATGGAAAGCTTTCTTTGTTTCACTAGAGTTTTCAGGTGATATTCCCAATAAAACAACTTAAGAACAGACAATAGACTGTAACTCAAGTTATTGTTTATGACATGTCCAATGTGTGAAAAATAAAATAAAATAAAGATACATATATATGAAATGAATACAGCAAAGAACAACATTACCACCTGAGAAGAAAGTGAAGAAGAGATTGAGTCTGTGTAGTCTAAACAAGAATTAGCCGAGCAATAAAATATAATTAAAATGCCTTACAGCTATACAGGCAAAGAATACAGGTTATTGCACTTTTCCCTTTCTCTTAAGTATTCTTCATTTATTATTTTTATTGGCAAATAATATAAAGCATTCTGAGAAAGTCATATACAACCATAGTTATTGTTTCACAAGTGCATTGCCTTTGATGAAAGCCATGTGAATTGTTAACCAGARATATTCCCATCAACTCAACACATAATGACTGGTGATCTTCATCTCAGTARGTCTCTGTTGTTATTTTCCTGCTTGAGCACGCTTATACAGAGATATATGTACTTATTCTATCACACACTCAACTCTTGCTCATAAACCAACACCACACTGTTTTATAGACTGGGAGTTCTACCATCAACAGGATTTATTTTCACTGTTTCTCACATATCTCAAAAGTGAAAATAGGTAATCCCACTCTGATTTTAGGCTTTGTTGTTTTGATGTGGGCCATAATGATTCTCGTAAAATGAATGTTGMTGTTGCAAATGCATTATAATAAGACAAAAATTTTAAGACGAGAAAAGATAGTCGCACAAAAAACACTGAGCTGGGTAGTTCTGTCAAATACATGTTTGATTTTATTTTATTTTGTTTTGCTTTATTTATTTATTTTTTTGCTATTTTTTTTAAAAATACAGTACAATAAACACTGGAAGTAAAATTTTTACATCGGCCAGGGCTGATTTTTTTTTTCACGGGCAAATGGAGTTCTTGACAGTTAACAGAAATAGTCATATTTTATGTAAATTTTCTTTTTATTATTATTCATACTGTAATGAATAAGGTCTTGACAAAAAACAAA